GCTTTTAATTGAACTATTCATATCTTAAACTGCACTGTAACTTTTATCCATGTATTTTTTCTTTTAATGTTTATTTTATTATCTTTTCTTTTTAATGACTGATTTTAAATGCCATTTTCTTAATGTCTTCCATTTTTGTAAAGCACTTTGAATTGCCTTGTGTTGAAAGGTGCTATATAAATAAACTTGCCTTGCTTTGCCTTGCCTTGTGTGGGAGTGAGTGAGCAAGCGAGAGAGAGAGAGAGAGAGAGCGCACCGGTAAAGGGGATTGTTGTTGTTAGCATCCGGTTAGCTAGTTGTGCGAACGGATATAAGAAGCTGTTTCTACAACAAGGTGGAGGAAGAGTTATTTCCTGTTAGAGTCCGACTGAGAGATCTTCCTCAGATAATAATAATAATAAATTCAATTTATAAAGCACCTTTCATTGCTAACAGCAATCCCAAGGTGCTACAGGAGGCATAATAAAAACAAACAAAATAAACAAAAGTTTTAATCAAAAGCTTTTTTAAAAAGAAAGGTTTTTAGGCCTTTCTTGAAGGCGTCAGTGGTCTGTGAAGTCCTCAGGTGGTCTGGGAGGGAATTCCACAGGCGAGGAGCAGCTGCACAGAAAGCCCGATCCCCCATTGTGCGTAGTTTGGTCCAGGGGGGGCGAAGCAGATGGTTGGTTGTGGAGCGGAGGTTGCGTGTGGAGGTTTGAGATGTGAGAAGTTCCTTCAGGTATGGAGGAGCGTTCCCGTGGATGCATTGATGGGTCAGTAGTGCGATCTTGTAGTCTATCCTGAATGAGACAGGAAGCCAGTGGAGGGAATGAAGAACGGGTGTGATGTGGTTGTACTTTCTCACCCTCATCAGGATCCTAGCGGCACTGTTCTGTACATATTGGAGCTTCTGAAGGCTCCCGCTAGGAGTCCCGATGAGGAGAGCGTTGCAGTAATCGAGCCTTGAGGAGACGAAGGCATGGACCAGTTGTTCTGCATCTGACAGGGAGAGTGTGGGACGGAGTTTAGCAATGTTCCTGAGGTGGTAGAAGGAAGTTTTGCACAGGTGTTTGATGTGGGTGTCAAAAGTCAGATGTCTGTCAAATCTTACACCCAGGTTGGTAACTGCTGTGGAGAGGGGTATGTTTTGGTTAGAAAAGGTAATGTGGGTTATGGGGGATGACTGGACCTGGTTTGGTGTGCCAACTAAAATAGCTTCTGTTTTGGAGCTATTAAGTTGTAGGAAGTTTTCTCGCATCCAAGCCTTTATCTCCTCAATGCAGGTGTTAAGGGATGTTGATGGGAACGGTGACGATGATGGTGACAGTGACGATGCATGCGGGATAGGGTCTGTCTTTATATATAGCTGCGTGTCATCAGCGTAGCAATGGAATGATATTCCATGCTTACTGATGACACGGCCAAGGGGCAGAGTGTACAGGGTGAACAGAGTGGGCCCAAGGACCGACCCTTGAGGGACACCACAGGTGACAGGGTGTGTCTGGGACCTCGCACCTCCCAAGGAGACGTACTCTGTTCTTCCAGACAGGTAGGACTGGAACCAGCTCAGGGCGGAGTCAGAGAGTCCGATGGTGTGTTTGAGGCGCTGATAACTACAGCTCAGAGTCAGACTGAGACCCTCTGCTCAGATAACTACAGCTCAGAGTCAGACTGAGACCCTCTGCTCAGATAACTACAGCTCAGAGTCAGACAGAGAGACTTCCTCAGAGAACTACAGCTGTCACGAACTTGAAAACACAAGGTATTGGACTCAAATGCACGACCCAGGAGACAGAGGTAAAGTATGAGAAAGATACTTTATTCCAAAAACAGGATAATAAATAAGGATCGACACTCTGGATGAGGTGACAAAAAAGGTTAAAAAAGGCACAAAAGAAAATCGCTCACTAAGTGAGGAACAAACTTACAAAATAATTTGAGAGCATAAATCGATAGTTACGTATGTAACTATGGTTCTATGAATACTGGATGACCGCCAGAGGCGGTGCTTTAGCACTGGATATATTCTATCTCGTGCATGCGCAGGTAGAATATTTATATCAACAAAGTCACGTGTGACCTCGTATGACCCCGGAAGGCATAAGTTCCGGTGCTGTCAACGAGTTCAGTCCTATGGAATCTTCTCGCGGAAACAAGAAATTCCGAGTGACCAAGAACTCTGGCGGTCATCCAGTATTCATAGAACCATAGTTACATACGTAACTATCGTTCTATTTCACCCTTACTGACCGCCAGAGGCGGTGCTTTAGCACTGGATGACCTATACCAGGCATCCTCAAAGTCCGGACTCTGGTCCGGATCCGGACCGAACCACAACTGTCTCTGGACTCTGAGCAAATTATACTTTTCATATGTATTATCTGTATTATCTGTGTTATCTGCGAGACATCGCCACAACGCAACGAGTCAAAATTCTCCGCTATGTCCACTGCATACAGCATGTCAGAATGTTCCACTGTCTGTGTGTGTGTCTGTCGACGCTTTGGTCCAATCACATTCAGCATCCCGTCAGCGTTTTTTCCCCCCACCAACAGTCTGCGAATCAGAGGCACAGTAGGGCGGGTCTTCGCGGAATGCGGGTGGGAAAAATGCGTGTCTCGTGTCGTCTCTTTCAACCTGTCTGAGTCAGAGCGAGAGTTTAAAAAAAAAAAAGTCAGAGCGAGAGTTAACAGCTCATCTAGTTGCATCTGTACTGTAGCTAGTAGCCTAGTTTCACCTACCGGGGTGGCATGGGGTGGCAACTGCCACCCTAAAAATAGGCCTTGCCACCCCAGCTGCCACCCCAGTTGCCACCCCAGTTGGCAGCTTTGTTTTGAAAGAAAAGTTGTGGCTCATCTGACATTTATGAGAGAAAGTCTCTAATGTCCGAGTGCAAGTGAATGCAGCACAAGATGCACGTCTTGTAACCCCTCCCCCGTCCCTGGCGCGAGCGTGGAAATATGATTGGCGGAGATTTCATTTGAACGGGACGGCGCAAAACGAGAAGCATTCGGACCCAAGTACTGAAGGAATGAGGTATTTGCGGTCTACAATGACAGAGAAGAGACTGTCAAGTTTGGCTGTACTCAGCATTGAATCAAAACGCACTAAAGCTGTTGATCTTAATCAGTTTGTGAGGCGTTTTGCTGAACAAAATGGTAATCGCTGCATTCAGCTGTAATAGACATGTCAACTTGATGCTCTGCTCACGGATGAGCATACAAAACTGTTAAGATGATGACCTTACGTGTGTAAATATATTTTTTTCTTTGTGGGGGTCTGCCCCCAAAAAACAGTTTTAAGTCCTGAGAAAGTCAAATAAGACGGTGTGTAAAACTACACTGCCCAGCCAAAAAGAAGTAACCACTTTGATTTAACTAGGCCAGTAGGTAAGGGCATTCCACTGGATAATAACTGAAGTATAAAAGAATGCATGACTGAAGTGATGGAGACCATGTTTGAAGGCAAACAAAAAGAGGAAATAACAGGTAAAATCAAGCAAATCCCCCTCTCAGCTTCCACAGCAACCAGAAGAACATAAATACTGGCTGGTGATTTGATTAATCAGCTTTGTGATGGAATAAAAAATGCACAGTGCATTTCCTTAGCTGTGGATGAGTCCACTGACACCACTGACAATGCTCAGTTGCTGGTGTTTGTGAGTTTTTATGATGAGGCAAAGGGGGAGTTTGTTGAAGATGTGTTGGGCCTGACGAACCTCAGTGGACACACAAGGGGGCAAGACATTTATAAAGCAATAATGGGAATGCTGAATGAAAGAGGGTGCAGCTGCCTTTATTCATAACTGTGCAGCTCTTACACTGCGACTCTGAGGGATCCAGCACAGACACAATAACAATGAAAACTGCTGCAAACAGATTATTTTTGTTTTTGCAACCTTGTGTTAAGAATCTTGTTGCAATTGTTTAAAAGTTTGAATGACCGTAATAAACGGACCTTTGTCTTATTGAAACATTTTTTTTGGACCTTTAAGATTTGTATTTGAGTACCCCTGACCTATACCAACAGAGTCACAAGGAAGTCTGAATACTCACCCTATAAGGATGGCCTAGGCGGACTCTGCAGGAGGACCACACCCAGCGGGTGAGGGGCGGCAACATTCACCCTGTAGTATCTGGCGAATGTGGTCGGAGATGCCCATGTGGCCGCAGCACATATGTCCTCCAGGGGAACACCTCTCAAGGTCGCCCATGACGTGGAGACACTCCTGGTAGAGTGGCACTTTACTCTGGATGGCAAGGGACGGTCATTCGCCTTGTATGCCTGGGCAATGACGTACACGATCCAGTGGGACAAGCGCTGTTTTGAGAGCGCACAGCCCCATCTAGGACCACCGTAACACAGAAAGAGCTGTTCAGACTGACGCATACCTGCGGTAGTCTGGACATAAGCTCTAAGGGCCCGCACCGGGCATAGGAGTCTTGACCTCTCTTCCCCCTCTCCTGATGGGGGGTCAAACCGTGCCAGCTGGATAGGCCGATTAAACCTCCACCACTTCCACCTCAGACACGAGCTGTTCACGGACAAGGCCTGAAGCTCGCTTACACGCTTTGCTGAGGTGATGGCAAGAAGGAAAGCAGTCTTAGCTGAGAGCCACCTCAGTTCTGCCTGTAACAAGGGTTCAAAGGGAGGCGAGCATAGGGCATCCAGCACCAAGGGCAGATCCCATGTAGGGGCCCTTGGGATGTTCGGGGGGCGAAGCCTCAGTGCTCCCCTTAAAAAGAGGGATACCAGCCTATGGCTCCCCACTGTGCTGTTGTCAAATCTTGCGTGTTGAGCTGATATAGCAGCCACATACACCCTGACGGTAGCGGGACACCGGCCGTCGTCTAGGAGGGACTGCAGGAACTCAAGGGTAGTAGGCACCGAGCAATGTACTGGGTCCTCATTTCGCCCTTGGCACCAGTCAGAGAACTGTTTCCACCTGTTTTCGTACTGCTTACGAGTAGATGGTGCCCTAGCATTGAGAATAGTCCTCCTGACAGGCTCTATGCAGTCGCTCAGCAGTGAGTCGGGCCCTCCAGTGGCCAGACCCACAGCTGGAGGCGGCAGGGGTCGGGGTGCCACATCCGACCCTCCAGCTGAGACAAGAGGTCCTTCCTGTTGGGGAGACGCCAAGGTGTCCCGCAACAGAGTCTGTGCAGCAGGGAGAACCAAGTCCTGGCTGGCCAGAAGGGGGCCACCAGAAGAAGCCTGTGGCCCTGATGAAGCACTCTGAGGAGTGTTGGTAGGATCAGAGGAAGGGGTGGATAGGCATAGAGAAGACACCCTGGCCATGAATGAGCCAGGGCGTCCTGACCCAAAGGGCTGGTCTTCTCCATCAAGGAGAACCATAGGGGGCAGTGGGTCGACATCTTCGAGGCAAAGAGATCTACCTCTGCCCTGCCGAAGAGACCCCAGATGCTGGCCACCACCTCTGGATGAAGCCGCCACTCCCCTGGTGGAGGCTTGTGACGGGAGGGGAAGTCTGCGACTTGGTTCTGCTCTCCGGGCAGATACATTGACCGTAGGCTGGCCAGGCAAGGAGCTGCCCAGGTCAGGAGAGTCTGGGACACCTCTAGCAAGCGTGCAGATTTGATGCCCCCCTGGTGGTTTATGTGATACACCGTTGTAGTGTTGTCCGAGCGGACAAGCACATGCCTCCCCCTCAGGTATGGCAGGAAGTGCCTGAGTGCTAGGTGCACAGCTCGCAGCTCTAGCACGTTGATGTGTTCTGTGCAGTCCTGAGCAGACCATGTCCTGTTTTGCCACACCGCACCCCATCCCGAGAGGCTGGCATCCCGAGAGGCTGGCATCCCGAGAGGCTGGCATCCATCGTAGCGGTCTCTCTGCGGAAAGGGACGGAGCCCATGGCCACGCCCCTCAACATATACGACCTCTCCCTCCATGGGGATAGAGTGGAGAGGCACTGTTGTGACACCCTGATTTTTCTGTGCCTGTGCAACTTGGGGTCTAAGTGGAGGCCGTTCAGCCATCTCTCCAGGGGGCGCAGTGACAACAAGCCCAAGGGAACGACAGTTGAGGCAGCTGTCAGCTTGCCCAAGAGGCGGAGAAACAGGATATATGCCAGAGACCTGCCCCTTTTGAAGAGGGGAAGAAGCTGGAGGATGTCGTCCAGGCGTTGAGCAGATGGACAGGCCCGCATAGTGACTGTGTCCAGAGCCACCCCAATGAAGGTTAGGCTCTGAGAGGGGTTCAGACAAATCTTCTCCATGTTCACCCTGAGGCCTAGCCGGGCGACATGAGAGAGAAGGAGAGCCGTGTCCTGGGTCGACTGCAACCGGGATGGTGCACAGATTAGCCAGTCGTCTAAGTATGGCAGAATCTTCATACCCTGAGACTGCAGGGGCGAGAGGGCTGCCGCGACACAACTGGTGAACACCCTTGGGGAGAGGGAGAGTCCGAATGGGAGCACCCTGAACTGGAAATGACGGCCTCTGAAGGCAAAGCGAAGAAACTGCCTGTGATGAGGCACAATAGGCACATGAAAATAAGCGTCCTTCAAATCGACGGACGTGAACCATTCCCCCCTGGCAACGGTACGAAGAACGTCCGCTGTGCTCAGCATATGGAAAGGTAAAATCTTTAGGAACTTGTTGAGTCCCCTCAGATCGAGGATTGGGCGAAGTCCACCGCCTTTCTTCCTTACCAGGAAATAGGTCGAGTAGAAGCCCCCGGGCTTTGAGATGGGGTCCACAGGTTCGATTGCACCCTTGGCAAGTAGGACTGACAGCTCCTGGTTTAGGGCGATTTCTTTTGCCGGGTCGCTTATGGTGGTCATTTTGACCCGGCTGAAGGCTGGGGGCCGGCGTCGGAACTGAAGCTTGTACCCCTGGGTTAAGGTGGAAACCACCCAGGGGTCTGAAGCTTGAGCTACCCAGTAGTTGAGCTGCTGCTGGGAGAAATAACCGACAGCCGGCCCCAGACCCTCAGTACCTTGCACCCCGGCCTCTGGAGGCTCTGGCGCTGCCTTGGGGGCGAGTTAACAGGACCGTAGCGGGTCGGCCCCCTCGTGGGATGCTGAGGCCCATGGCGGGCAATGGGGTGAGCCGGTGTTTGGGAGCGGCCTCAGGAGGCAGACGCGGAGCCTCTAGGCCTACTGGGGGGGGCATGTCTCTGCGAAGAGCTGAGAACTGTTGCCTGGTCTGACTAGCTTGGACAGTCCGTTCGAGCACCTGTACGGCAGCTGAACCAAACAGCTCCCCCGGCTCCACTGGGACAGCACGGAGAGTCCTCCTACATGCCTCTGATAAGTGTGACTGTGCCAGCCACCGAGAGTGGACATCAGGCGCCCAAGCTCTCTAGACATCAGAGCAAACGCCTGTAATGAGGCGTCACTGAGGCTGGTAGAGGAAGCGCTAAGAGCCTCCTGCTGCAGGGAAGCTGAGAGGGCAAGCATGAGGTGAGAGAGGGAATTGCCTATACGGCCCATGCGCGCCGCTGCATCGTAAGCCTTAGTGAGCAGGTCATCAGTGACCCGACATTGGGGTCGAGGGCACCTGGCCTCCGACCTCAGAGCTTCGTCAGGGGAAACTATGAGGGAAGCAATAGTAGGCTCAACAGCCGGCATGTGGTCAAGGCCGACCTTTGCTGCATCGTGCATGGCTGCCAGGGCTCGGCCATCGGACGTAAGATGGGAAAGAGTCTTAGTGTCCCTCCAGCATGCATGTAACTCCCTCACATACTCACAAGAGGGAGGAACTGCAAAGGCCTGAAGAACACACTGGCAGGCGCTGTTTCGGGCTGCTGTACATCCAGCTGCTGGCGAGCCAGTGCCATGCAAATGACGGTACCCATGGAGCCGTCAAATGCCCCCTCCGAGGATGCATGAGCTGAGGTACAGGAGCCAGGCCCAGAAGATCTGACTCCATACAGATGTTAAGTTCACCTAGGAATGGTATCATTGACTTAAATGTTCAAATAAATGTTGCTCTTCTGTCTATATTGGTCATATGATGCCCCTTGACTGAAATGTTTCCTGTTCAATATCCCCACTGATTTCCTTAAAATCCTGGGATGAGAGTCCACATCACAATTTACTCTCAACTGTCATTTCCCTTTCATCACTCACCTCAGCAATGGAACTCTCTCCACTGTCCCTGCATTCTGCCTCTGACTCACTCTCAAGTGCCTAGATGTCAAGAGAGGTGGTGAAGTGATAATTATTTATTGAGCAGTATACTCTTTCACATTGAATCATAACAAGTCATACTGAATGTAAATACAACTGACTCTAAAGTAAGTCCCAGTCTGTGACATTGGACATTTTGAAGACTCAAAGTCCCAAGCAGTAGGTAGAATATGCTATGTAATGTGCACAGAAAATAAATAGTTAACTGAATACTGGGATGGAAATAGCCTATAAGCACTCAGTAAAACATAAACACACACAAAAAGCTTCTGAATGATAAGAAGTATAATTAAAACATAATGCACATTACCATTTTGAGAGAGAGTACCTAAGTTAAAGAACTCAGAAAATAATCTCTTATCGAACTGAGGCTCCAGTAAAACACACTGACTGCGTCTCTACATGGACATCAGTAAGCCGTTTATGAGTATTATCCCGGTTATGATCATATTGGGGATATGGTGTTTACATGAGCACAGAGAGATCAGGTTATTCATGTTCCCTGTTTACATGATAAATACTAGTAACCTGGCATTTCGATGCCTTTTCTCATCTAAACTATTCAGTATTTGTATTTCTCTATCATGACATAAAGACGAAACTCCTCTCCAGAATTGAGACGCCGCCATCACTGTTAACTGATCTGCTACCAGCTGATGACTTACTTTCCTCTTCTTTGAAAAAAATGTTCTTATGTCCATGTTGTCTGGGGGAGAAAACATATCAAACCAAGAGATCGTCAGCTTTGATTTTCGCTGTATTAACCATTTCCTGAACATTTGTGTGTGCCTTACCTCCGCTACCGGCATCGCTTCATACAACAGATCTGAGCTGTCCAACTATGACAACACTCCTTGAACATGCGCGCGCTATGTGAGAATCTGCCTTTGTACAAAGTAGCAGTGAAAACATGGTACGGAGTTTCATTGATTTGGGCATTCTCTCAATAAGCAAGTGGAATGGATTTCATTTGATAGTGAAGCACTGACACAGCGCTCTACAAAGTGCGGCGAGTGGATAGACCGATTCACGGACTTTCCGCATAGTAAAAGTGGGGGGGTCTAAACTAATCATTTGAAAAAGTGGGGGGGACTTGTCCCACCCTCATATAATGGCTGCGACGCCCATGGTCTGAAGTGTCTGTTTTAAGGCATGACCTGCAAACTAAATAACATAACACTGAGCTTGGATGAAGACGTTGTAGGGTTTTTATTTATTATTAAGTGAATTTGCTGATTTATGATGTTTGTTCAGCAGTGTCAGCCAAGCCTCTAATCCTAGAGCTATTTAGACGCATTAGCAACACCAAGGGTATTGTTTTTCGCAGCAACAATGATACAGAATATGACAAAAGCCATTATTGAACTACCAACATGTAAACTATTTTTGTGCTCATGACAGATTCTTAGTAAATATGCATTTATAACATCGGAAGACGATACATCACACAACATCTTTGTACGCCTTGTGGGTACACGGAGAATTTATATTTATTTACTACGACGTTATGGGTTTTCCATGTCCTATTCATAATAGGGTAATCATTGCAATATGTGATTGGGTAAGGGTGAAAAGTTCACAAAAGACAGTGGGCTGATCCAAGGTGGTCGGAACCGTGATAAGTTGTAACGAACTTCTCACGCGCTCCGGTTTAAAGGTAAAGAAAAAAGGAGCAAATTGACACCACTTCACACATTGTCACCCTTCACTGGCAACTTCCAGAAAATTATTGGAAGTTAGGACTGATTTGGCAGAGCTGGAACAAAACAATAAATAGAAATAAGATTAAGATAGAAACAGCTCAAAAAACGAATTGTCTTTAGATTTTTATAGATTGTACACTAAAGTCAAAACCTATTTTTTGTTTGACATCTGAAAAGAACCACGTTTTGTTCCTATTTTTGTATACGTTATTTTTGTACTCATCATTTAAATTCTGTAACTGACACAACCATGGATAAAATAGAGATTATGCCAAGAACAAAGCCAAAGCAATTGTGGGGTCCCCTAGGGATAAGAGACAGAATAGCATTGTTGATTGTGCTCATTACACTTGGCACCTTTCTGGTTGGATGGGGAGTACAATATCATGTAAGACATGGATCCATTAGTTCACTCATAGAAAATGCCCTCATCACTAACAAAACACCAGCAGTGTTTCAGAGACTTTCACTTATCCCCAGAGCCAAAAGATCAGTTGAGCAACAAGAGGAGGAGTTAGAAATACCCATTCCCAAAGGAGAGGAGGTTACAATCAAGATGATTCACCCCCCCTATATGCAGTTCTTGTATCAAATGATGAGATAGGTTTAAGTGATCGGGATATGTAAGTGATGGGGATTTACAAATTAGGGGAATCTCCAATACACTGGATCCATGTTTTAGTCTGTACCAGAAAAAACCCCTGTTAAGACTATGGACAACCGACCGGTGACCTATCTGAGCACAATTATTGAAAATGATTACAGTAGAAACAGGCTACTAACCCACGAGGACAGCTGTGTATGTACAAACTCTATAACAAAATTCCCCAGCAGATTGTGGCGACAATGCACAGATATATCCAGTCACAAAAGTTACTAATGTTCTAAATAACAGTGAGATTTAAAATGATGGAGAAAATATGGGAACGTTCTTTTATAGTGTGTGAAATAAGTGGTGCTTGAAACATGTAAGTATTTCAATTTATAGAAGAAAATGGTTTCCTGAAAGAGTTATTTGGAGTAAACGTGTTACAGTGGGTGAAAACAACACTGTAAAATATTACCATGATTTCACAATATTTAGCTGTAATATTTTACAATAAATTACTGTTTTACCACTTTACAGTCTTTACCTGTAATGTTCACAATATAATACTGTAATTTTGAGTTTCACAGTGAAATCAATACAGGCACAGTTAATTACTGTGAATGTACAGGATAAATGATTACCAGGATTTCCCAACATGTTACTGTATTATTTCACAGTAAAATACTGTATTCAGACCATCCTCTGTGATAACACAACAAATTAAGATTGCTTTTATCGCTCTTGCTTGGCTTTAAATACTCATTTCTTTCTTTGGTGCAGGTTTTACTGAAATTGAAAGCGGCACCGCTGCATGTGCCTTAAAATAAACGATGCAACATATAAATCTATGTAAAATTGAAATTGTTGTCTTGGCTTATTGTTTTCAGGTGCTTCCTGGGCATTAATCCTGAGACGGGCTCGAAAGCCAAAAAGAGGCATGGCAATTTAAACCCCCATGTCAGCACATTCTTCAGAAAAATGGTTGACTTCGAGTGGATGTCTGTGTTGACATGTGTTAAGTGCTCCCCTTCTTGTTTTCTTTTCTGTCTCCCTGCTGCGCATGTTAGTGCGCATGGGGTGCACCTGGTCTGCCCCTGGCTCCGCCTCTGCCCAGGTGCACCTGGTCTGCCCCTGGCTCCGCCTCTGCCCAGGTGTTCCAAATTCCACTCAGCTGTGTGTATATATAAAGAGAAGCTGGAGGAGAAGGATGTCTCGCCTATCTAACGCCGGGAGACACTCTCCTTAGAATACCTCTTTGCCATTTTGAGCTGTAGGCCATATTTTTGCAGATGTTTATGTTTAGCCTGGAGGACCTGGTAGTCCAGTTTTCGAGGCTTTATTTTGTTTCCCATAGGGTTTATAATTGATTTCTGATTTGGGGGGGGAGCTCTGTGGCTGGCTCGGATTCCCTCCTTCTGTTTGTTCCTTTTGGCCAGTCCTCCAGACCTCTTTTTCGCTTGTGTGAGCAAACGGCTGATTATCAATAAATGCTCGTTACCAAGTACCGGTTATTGCGTGTATTCTTTCATGTTGCGGGTCTCAGCACGAGCCACTACCGCGGAGTAGAGGTTGGGGCCGTAACAACATGTCCAAGACACTGTGAAATGTACTTTGCACTTCAATGGAGTAATACAAAGTTAAAATGGGCATTTTCTTTGTTTTTCTTTGTTGATTGAGCTGATTGAATTGTGTAGTTATGGTAAAATCCCAGTTAACTAGTCAAATTCACAATATATTATCGTATTATTTACATTTTTATATTTACAGTAAATTACTGGCTAATGTGTTGCATTACTTCTACAGTAAAAGTGTGAAAATACAGGTAATTACTGTAATTTATGTACAGCAAGGTACCATAATACCACAGCTCTGTACTGCTATATCACAGTAATTCCATGGGCATGGCAACTGTAAAGTCACAGTATTTAGTTGTACTTTTATTCTAATTTACTGTAAAATATCTACAGTCAATTACTGTGAGATATTTACAGTAAAATACATGCAACTAGTAGCCAGTAATTGACTGTAATTTTCCAGCCAAAGATTTTACAGTGAATGTTTAGGGATATAGTAAAATTATTAGTAGACATTAATTGTGTTTTGATGGCATTTAACAACTAAAACAGATAGTATGATTAGAAAATAGAGTGGAGAAGGTTTGATTTATTTGACCTCAGTGT